TGAAATTATCTAATAGCGTGGGATGACCAAACTCTAATCATATTTTCACTGTACAAATTATTAGAATTTGACATATTAATTTCTTAGAACTAACAAAAATTTAATTAAATTAATACTCATAAGTTTAAAAACTTTAATTTTAATTAAAATTAGCATTTCAAACTGTTGCAATACAAAGTAGTTACCATGTACCCAAACAAAAAAAAAAATTACAACTTCTTAATTTTATTTGTTGATCTATATCAATATCTTGTAGTAATGATCCTATTTAAAATTGAAATTTAAAAATGAATAATGACATAAATTTTAAGTAATTTTTATATATTTAAAGCATATAATTTCAATTTTTATAGATGCAAGTCCTATTCTCCTTTTTACATGTCATAATTCTAGCAAAATTTATCTTTTCTAACAGTCTTAAGTTTTTTTTTTTTTTTTTATAAGACAAAAGCAAGTGATTCAACTGTAGGGGCTGGAGGGAGGGGAATACTATAGGTTCGAATCCTCTTATCGGATGAAAAAACCTTTTATAATTAGATAAATAGTTAGTGAGCTTGAAAGCATTCGTCAACAATCTTAAGTTAAATATGTAATTTGATTGTTTGATTTTCTTCTTTTATAACATTCCAATTGATCCCCCGAGATAAAATCTTGACTCCACTTAACAGGAGGTGTTGTAGTAGAGTTATTTCGTGTTTTTAATTTAAATGGTTTAATATTTAAATTTTAGATATAGAAAAAAAGTAAAAAAAATAAAATAAAAAAATAAATGACAGTATTTAAAGTCGACAAAGGGAAATGCGTTCATCCAGAGCCGTGAAATTTCTGAATCTTTGTCCGGAGTCCATACAATCCAATTGGCGTCCAAAAAGCACACGGAAAAAGTGTCCAAAAGAATCACCAACCCAATTCAAAAGGATCCTTTTTTCAAGTTTGACATGCCGTTTGCTTTGACTGCTTTTAAGATTCCATGGCTGCTTGTGTACCCTATTTTTTCATTAGTTTTTTTATATATAGTAATTTTTTTGATATATTATGTAAGTTGTTTGGAACTATAAAAATTTTTAATTTTAAATTTTAAATTAATGAATATTAATTTAATTTAATTTTTATTGATATATAAAGTATAACTATATAACACAGGTATAGACATTTAACATAATATATACAACTCAAGAAAAACATGGAAAAAACGAAGTATTTACAGGGATTCAACCTATAATTTTGAGATTGTGGGACCTTATCTCTATAATTTTAACCACCATACTTATGATTGTAGGCCTAATTTTGCATTAATCAATGATCTATTTGGTTTAATTGAAAATATAATTGATAATTGTAACTTTTTTTATAAAAATATCTTTTTAAACATCCTAATTAATTGTTTAAAAAATAGCTATAAATTGTCATTTTCAACGACCATAAAAGTCAGATCAAATGGAACATAAATGCTGGATACTCAAACCAAATCAAAATAATAAAAAGAAAATCAAGAAAAAAAAATCATATCAACATAGATTGTCACCACTGTTTTACTTTAAGAATTAACATGATATTTTACTTCATGAATGATACTACTAGCATTAATATAGTTATAATATTATATAAAATTATTTATTAAATAAATATATAATATTATAAATAAATTTTTAAATAAAAAGTCAATAATATAATTGCAAGTTTACAATATTAAATAATATGATAATTATATCATTTTCTAAATACACCAAACTCTTATAGGTTATTTGCTATTACATATATAAATAACTAATAATAAGAGTCAATATATCTATTTTTTTAAAATTACATAATGAGATGTAATCAATTTTCAACTTTTTATTCATCTTAATTACAAATTTACAATTCAAATTAAAAATCTTTTATTATTTTTTTAAAAAAATTACTACTATACAATATTTAAATAGTTGGCTAAAAGTCAAAAGGGCAATGCATGAACAGTCCAACTATGTGTACATTGAATGTCAACTGTTAGATCCCTTCAAAATATTCGTCAAAGATTTGATTTCAACATTAATTTGGTGCCGATTAACCTTTCAAAGTGCGCATTAGCAGCCGGGCTGATAGGTGATGTGTATCTAATACCTTGATTTTGATTTATGTTTATAATATTTTAAAAAGAATTTTTTCTTGTCCAGAAAAAAAAAAAGATTAACTTTTTAAAATGCACATCATAATATAAAAAATAACTAAATAATAAAATAATAAAAACGAAGGACAAAACTTTTTTTTCTTGCTCATAGCATAATGATTTAACCACCCAAATAATTATTATAACCATGCAAAATAATTATTAACAATTTATTAGTTTCAATAGAAAAGAATTCAATTATTTTTAAGTAAAATTTTGAGATTGAATCTTTTAAATGAAAAAGTAGGCTTTGAAAAAGTTTTGTATGTTTAATTTATTAAATTTTATTAATTTATAACTAATTAAATACTTAAAAATCAATTAATCTATGTGTTAATTTTTTAAATATTATATTAAAAAATAAAAATAATATATATCCATCTTATCTCTTAAAAATTAAGAAAAAAATCATTTAAAAATTATATTGTTTCAATAAATTATTTTTAAAATTATGTAATTTTAAAATAATTTTTTTTAATATTTAAAAAATAAAATAGATAAGTATTACTCTCTTAAAGAATTAATTATTTCACATTGTATATTTTTAATTAATAAATGTAAATTCGACGAAGTTCTAATAAGTCATAGATGGTTAACCAAACGCACCTATCCATCGGGTTTCCGTGTGACCTTCCGTGACCATAACGAGGTCGCTTGCCCAAGAAATAAAAAAGGGTAGAAAAACATACTTTCACGCGCGCTTAAACTTGCCTTTATTACACGCACCAATCACGAACAAGACAGTTCTTCACGTACTTTAGCCAGAGCAAACCCCGCGCTTGACCAAGACCTAACTTCCAAACGCGCCATAGACGAGCGTGGATTCTGTCCAAATGTGAATATTGGTTTCAGAATTTCTCTCTTTCAACTTTTCAAGTTTCCAGCCTAAAAAAAAAAAAAAAAACCAACTAACAACGAGAGCGGAAGTTTCTCTCCATCTCTCAGTTCAGATTCTGGAGAAAACTCCTCTGGGTTTTTGTCTCGTTAAACCCTAGATTATTCCCCATTCTAAACCCAGGTGCGTCTCTTTGATTTATTTTCCTTTTATTTGTTCATCGAAATCATGTTCTAGTGATTTTTCGGAGCTGTTTTAGCTCTCAGATCCGTTCTGTTCTCTTTTATTTTGTTAAATTTTATTTCATTTTTATTTTTTTTTGTAAGTGCCATGAATTTACAAGCTTATTTTCTTCCCTGCATTTGATTTTCCATATACTGAATTCTTAATTTGTTTTTTTTTTTTAGTATTTTTCCTGTTTGTTCATTGTCAAATTGACATACTATTAAGGACATTTTCTGTTTCGAGGATATTTTGCGTTTTCCTGTGCTGATGCTTACTGGGTTTATTTTTGTTTTGGTTTAATATTCTACTTATACTGTTTTTAGAACCTAGAAAGTAAGTTCCTAATTGGGTTGTCTTATTAATTTGATTGGGTTTGTTTATGCATTGTAAAGTCATGTCCCTTTTTATAAAAGGAAAAACTTGTTTGCGTAGAGAGCTAAAGTGTTACAATTGTTGGAGTTCCGTGTTAGAAGCACGATTTGGTTTATCTGCTTTCTGCTTTCTTATTTCTTGTTGCCTATTTTGGGTTGACTACAAGCTGCATTGTGGTAAAATAAAAAGAAAAACCCAGATAAAATAGAGAATAAGAAAAAAATGAACATTCTTTTCTTCTAATGCACTAGGACTGAGTAGATAGAATTTGCATTTTTTTTTTCTTAATTTTTTCCAGTTATTTATATTAACTACTTAATTGATAATTTTGGAAATTTATTGCTATTGTGATGCTTAATACATTCATTGCCACAGGGAGGATAGCTAAATTCTGTGGCTCGAACTTCTAGACAATGGATTTAGAGGATAAGTTCCTCACTAGAGGTATAAATATGATCTTGATCTTTGCTATGCTTTTTTCTTGCAGCTGCTTATGTTTACTTCCAATTGTCTTGCTTTTCTTAATGCTTTGTAGTATGAGAGATTGTTAGTAGGAGCGAATGTGCAAATTATGTCACTCTAGTCCTTGAAAAAGATTAGTTTGAAGTTTGAACAAATCTGGATCTAGGAATTAGCCCAACTGGTGAACGGATTTTGAAAATTTTGGTCTAAATCTTGAGGGTGTGGAATGTTATCCTTTCCCAGGCACATAGATGCTTTTGCTTGTGTATTTATGTTATCATGATTTTCTTTATTCCAATAACAAAAGCTTTCATGTTAAAATTGTGCCCACATAAACTGTTCCTTTAGAGTATTTTCTTTTGGTTACCTTGAAAATAATTGAAATTCATGATCTGCAATCAATATGGTTAGGGAGCAGATAGATATGTTGAAGATTAAGAAATTTTGTTTTCAACAGAGACCTTTTTTTATGTCTATTAAAATTATTTCCTACTATCATATCAATGGGATAAGATCCTACATGAACTGAATTACAGATAAAAAGCATCTAGGTTATTGGAATTGAATAAGTCCTTGGTCATATTTTTGGAGTTTCATTTCATCATTATTGGATTTGGAAAATCAAATAAACATTGCATTAAATGCCATTTTGATCTCATTTTATGACTGTTTCTAGCAATTAATTTCTTTATCAGCAGAAGGGAATTTATTCTGTGACTTATCTACTTTGATATTGACAGTCAACTGGTTCTACCAATTCACCTAGGGCTGCAATAGTTAGGCTGAAAACAATCCATAATAGGATTGTGGACTCTGTAGGTATTTCTAAATTTATAAGTAAGAAGCCTTTTTTGAGTCATGTGTCTGAATAGATTAGAGGTTCTTTGGAATTATGTGGTAGATATCAATTGTGGGGGGTGGGGGGGGCATTTGTAATACCTGAAATGATATTTTTGAGTATCATTTGTTTGCAGTGGATTGTAATGCCTGAATTACACTATAGAATTAGTATGCTTTCTCTGTTTCTGTTTATTGTAAATAATGACTGTAGCTACTAGCTAGCATATGAAGTCCGTGAATTCATTCCATAAGTCATTTATTAACTTATTTAATAAACCTTAAGAAGTCATGTTTACACTTTTTCGTCTTTTCTTCATGACTGTTTATGGTAGCATAATAAATTGCTGTTTTATTTTTTATTTTTTCGTCAAAGAATGAATGGCTGGCTAGTAACTTAGCATAAGAGTGTTTAATCTCAACAAAAAGGTATGTCAGGAAAGCTTCCGCATTTCTCAATCTTATTTATTGGGAAACATGTAAAATTGGTATGCCTATAATTGTAAATACTACCTGAAAATTCCATGTTGTGTGACATTCAATTTCAAATCACCAACCTTAAACAACTTATTGACTGTCAAATAAAGAGCCACCTTAATAAGCAATTTGGAGATATTTAGATTCTTGTTGTTTTGCAGTGTCAAACTGACCATGTGTTAGAGGACTAGCTTATCCAATAATGTACCCCGGAAATAAATATTTATTTCTGCTTTTTCTTTAATTAATTTTCAATGGTTTACTAAATAAATGGTAAAAATGTGCTTGTAACAAAGTCAATTTCCCTGTATGCTCAACTAGCAGATCTTTTTTCTTTTCTTTTCTTTTCATTCCCCCCCCCCCCCCCCTTTTTTTGGCAAATTGTATAAATTCTTGGTTTAACATTTTTCCATTTATTTATTTGTCCATAATTGAAACATGGCCGATTCATTGACTACCAAATTGAATTTGGACTTTTATGTCACTGAATCAGCCTGATAAGAACTAGGTCTAGGTAATATTTACATTATAATGTCATACATATGAGGGGTTCATCTGAATCCCTAACTGCCTTTAATAAGTTGATGCAAGCTGCTTCTTTGAGAACCTTATCACTGCCTTCTCCATCTATGCTCTTACATTGTCGTACTTCTAAAATTTGATTTCTTTTCTTATTCTTTTTTCTGCAAGGAAGGATCTGTTGTTAATCAGGTATCTCCTATCTGCTTTTCCATCCCTTGGGTAGATTTCTTCTATCTTTTCCCTTTTTTTTTTTTTAATTAATATTTAATTGGGGTTCCATTTCCTTGCTTTTTGTTAATGGTGTTGTGGAGAACCTCACATGATTGCCTAATGATTTTAGCTTGTTTATCTTTTATGTTTATTTCTATATTGCTTTTTAAAAAGTCAACATGTGGCTTGTTTTCTTTCAGTATCTGATTCAGCTTGTACCACTTGAAATTAGATAGTGGCTTTTGGATTTGGTATCTGATTGTTGCATATTTAAATTAAGATAATTATTTAGTGGATCATTGAATTATAGGATGAAATTGCTTTTTTTTCATTTCTTCTCCCACTTTTGAAGGTAGAAATTGGATCTTGCTGATCCTTTGTAGACTGTTATATTTCTAAGCCAATCGTTGATTTTAAAACCATGATAAATTACAGAAAACATGTTGAATAACGTCATGTAGGTTTATCCTGTTTTTTCCTTTTTTTCTTATAGTTTCAGTCTTTTTTAATTCATGAACTTTAACATTGCTGTAACTATACTAATTCACATGGCATTCAATTAACCGTACTCTCTTTTTCACATGAATTAACATAAATCATGCAATTTATTTCAAGAACCATGTACTAGTCGAAATTGTGATTGCTTCATTCAAAGTTAATGTTAGACAATGACTGGTGCCAATTTATTTTGTGACATTTTTCTTTCTAGCTTGTATTCACAATTTCACTTTCACTAGATCAATTTTAGTACTTTGGAGATTATCTCTTTCCCATTCCCTTCATCCCTCAACTATCCTTAAAATAAGTGATCTTTGAGTTGTGAGATAGTAAGGATGGTGATTCTTTTATTCATTTTGTTGCATGGTATTTAATTTCAATATAATTATAGGTACTGATGGGGAAAGCTTTTCTATGACATCACTTTAGATCCTCTTATCATACTCTGAAAGAGATAAAGATGTGTGATGTTTGAGTTGAATTTAGGAATATGAGCTTAAAATGAGTTTTAAGTACAAAAATTTAAATTTTATAAGTTGTTGGGTTGCCTGTAATATGTTTTACTTTTAGCATGTATCAGTGCCAAAGTCAAAAAATGGCTGTGTTAGTGAGGTTCTAAATTTTAAGAGGTGGGTCACTGGATGAGTGATGCCTAAAAGCCCTAAATGGGTTTGTGTGGAAAAATAACTGATTTACAAATCACTGGGCATATATTGGTAATGATGAACAACTTTTTTGAGAAGTACTGTTTATAATGTCAGTGAGGTTTCTTGTCATAGTGTTGCTTGGGAATTTTAGGATGTGATAACTTTTCTTCTTTTAGGTTTGATAATTTGTCAGTTTCAGATCATTACATTGCAATTTTATGTTTCCAATAATTGTTTTTTGTTCCCACCATAGGCTCGCTTTCGTCATGCAGTTTCAGGTGTTCAAAGCCTTTCTTCTAGTGTTCAAAGCACTCCTGAGAAAAATGGCCATTCAGATGATGCTTCAAGAAGTCCAGAACTCCTCCAGGAGTTCCTAAAATCTGGCCCAAGAAAGGAGCTTCTTCGAACCTGCTTTGATAAAGAGAAGAAAAACTCAGCTTCATCAAAAAGCAAAATGACAGAAGCTCTGAAGACAAGCAGCAAGATGGCAAAGAAGTTGGAGCCGAGAAAAGCCTTGTCCAATGGGAACAGTCAACCTTCCTCTAAGAAGCAAAGCAGAAAGGGGGAAAACCCAGTACGAGTGCCCACAGGACCTGAGCAATCTCTAGATTTTGCGTATTCAAACTCATGGATCTGTAAAAATTCTGCCTGTAGAGCCACTCTATCCATAGATGACACATTTTGCAAAAGGTGCTCTTGTTGTATCTGTCATTTATTTGATGATAATAAGGATCCTAGCCTTTGGTTGGTGTGCACATCCGAATCTGGTGAGGGGGACTATTGTGGATTATCATGCCATATGGAATGTGCCCTTCAACATGAGAAGGTGGGGGTTGTTGATCTTGGCCAATTGATGCAACTAGATGGAAGTTATTGTTGTGCTTCTTGTGGGAAAGTTTCGGCAATACTTGGGTAAGATTTGTCTTGCTGCTCATGCGCAGTTTTATTTCCTCTATAATGGTCTAAACCCTAAAACCAAGCCTTACTTCAAATGATACTTTAATCCCCATAGTTATTGCTGTGTGCATCCAATGACCTGATGTTGAATTTGATTTCATAAGATGCAGGTTTTAGAGGATGAGTCACTGCAGGTTATTTCTATTTTCCAAATATAGGTTTTCAACTCTGGGCTAACTGATTGTGGTCTGATTTGCTTTCTTCTAGCAGGTGTTGGAAGAAGCAGCTAAATATTGCCAAAGATGCCCGCCGCCTTGATGTTCTCTGTTATAGAATCTACTTGAGCTACAGGCTCCTGGTTGGGACTTCTCGGTTCAAAGAACTACATGAGATTGTGAAAGATGCGAAGGCCAAACTTGAAACAGAAGCTGGTCCACTGAATGGAGTTTCTGCCAGGATGGCACGGGGCATTGTGAGCAGACTTAAAGTTGCTGGGGACGTGCAAAAACTCTGCTCTCTTGCAATTGAGAAGGCAGATGAATGGCTTGCAACCATGGCGAGTGGAAATCAAAATTGTCGAGGTTAGGACCCGTAAATTATTATTATTATTATTGTAACTGGGTCACATTACAAATTTGAATTCATTTATGTGAAAGGATTATATTTTCTTTTGGCAGATTCACGTCCTGCTGCTTGCAGGTTCTTATTTGAAGAAGTAACATCATCCTCTGTTGTAATTACGTTGATTGAATTGTCTACCACATCATCTGATGAGATTAAGGGGTACAAACTCTGGTATTGCAAGAGTAGAGATGAGACACCTTCAAAAGAACCTATCTGTGTCTTTCCAAGAACTCAGAGAAGGATTTTGATATCCAACCTGCATCCATGTACAGAGTATACCTTCCGTATTGTTTCTTATACTGAGGCTGGTGACTTGGGTCACTCTGAAGCTAAATGTTTCACAAAGAGTGTTGAGATTATTAATAAGAATGCTAATTCAGAAGCAGCCATAAATCGGAAGAAACAGAATAGCCTTGTTGAAGGAAGCTCTTTAGATTCCAAGAAGGAGCTCAAAACTAAGGATTCAGATGATTCTTGTGGTTTTAAGGTTCGAGACCTTGGAAAGATCCTGCGTCTGGCTTGGGCCCAAGAGCATGGCTGCTTTGAAGGGTTCTGTAGTGCTGATATAGAAAAATGCTGTGGAGCAAGCAAGGTTGTCAAGCCTGAAACTGTTGAAGAGGATCATTTGCCAAATGTTTCACGGGGGCTTGACTTAAATGTCGTTTTAGTGCCTGATTTAAATGAAGAGCTAACACCTCCATTTGAGTCCTCTAGAGATGAAGACAATGATTGCACTTTGGAGCAGGCTGTGGAGGCAGATGATGATGCTGCTTCTCATGACTTGCAAAAGAAAGGTTTAGCTAGATCTCATGGTAGCGGTGATTCCCAAACGTGGACTCACAGGCCAACAGAAGTGCCTGCAGTTGATTCCTGTGCAGGTTTGTGCAGGAAAAGGGCAGCAAACTCTAATGAAGAGACACATGACTGTGATAGCACTCTGATAAATGTGTCACCATTCAGAATCTCTAATGGTTCAGGTCCATTGGATGAAAACTTTGAGTACTGTGTGAAAATAATCAGATGGCTAGAATGTGAGGGTCATATTAGCCAGGAATTTAGGTTAAAACTACTAACATGGTTTAGTTTGAGATCAACAAAACAAGAGCGTAGGGTTGTCAATACCTTCATTCAAACTCTTATTGATGATCCAAGTAGCCTGGCAGGACAGTTGGTTGACTCGTTTTCAGATATCATAAATAGCAAGAGGCAACGAAATGGATTCTGTAGTAAGTTGTGGCATTAGATAAGACAGGGCATTTTAAACCCGGGATTCCTATTTGCTTAGAGATCATTTTTTCCAGGGTGATAGATTTAACCCTGATTGCTTCGCCGACTTTGTACAGGAATTTTTTCCAAATCAGGTGATCCATTTGTACCATGGACTAGTTTATCCGGCTAAAAAAGATTTGGGACATTGATTGATGGCATGGATCCTATTTTTCAAGGGGCGGCTTGGACCAGGAAAATTCATATTGTAATTGTAGTAGGCATCTTCAATTCTCCTAAAATACCCTAGTTTTATTTGGTAAAAGCATATAATTTATGGAGAAAAGATATGTATGGATCCTATTTTTATTGCCTTGCATGATTCAAACAAGGGTTTATGAATTGATCTCAAATTTTATCTTGTTTTACACATTCTCCATCTCTCTTACTTTTTGGTGAATGCCTAGGGTATCTATTTATGCCCTTTGCATTTCTTGCTAGGATAGTTCATGTTCTTGGAAATTTCTGTTCCTAAGATCCAAACATGCTTCAACAAACTGGCAATGGATGTGTCGTTCTTCCGGGAAGAATCCCTCAGCCGTAGCTGCAGAGGTAATAATGAAGGAAAGGAAAATGAAGGTAGGGTATATGAACAAAAAAAGAAATGTAGTGTAGCATTTTTTAATTTTCTTCTCCGGGTCCAGGCAAGCTGTCGTTCTGGTTAAGCAGATTGTATTTCTAAAAATTAATTAGGGAAAATATTATTAAAAAAAGTGTTTTAAGTTGGACTGTACAATAAACTAATTTTATAGTATATTTAATTTGAAAAGACACTTTTTTAATCAATCAAATTATAACTTTATGAACTATTACAATCTAAGGATGTGTTTGGCTTTAATAAATATGGTTATTTTTCATCTCCATTTTCTTTTAAAAAATGAAAAATAATTAGTAAAAAAATTCATTCATCCTTTATATTTTTCTTAAACCAAATATATTTTTAATGGAACTCTTTTTTACGTTATATTATTAATAAAATTTTAATAATTATAATCAAAATTATACTTTTATTATGTAAACTAAATATGAAGAACAAGAAACTTTATTGTTATGACTTATGACTCCTCTCATAACCGAAGCTAGGCCACTCACCAGTCACGGTTTTCCTCTCCAACCCCCACTCTCTGCAACAAAACTTCGACGTTGTAAACGCTCGCTGTGAAATGCAGCTACTTCACGCTCCGTTTTGGTTCCATCTCTCTTTTCAAAGCACAAAACAACATTCAAACGAAGGTAGTTTTCTTCATCCTATTCAATACTGTACAAACAGCTTCATTTTCTCCTAAAACATTTTTGTGTTTCTCCTTGTAGGATTGCTTCCACTAGTGAAATACCTTCAAACATCACTTACCAAATGCTCCTTCTGGCCTAAAATGCTACAAGGACCGATATGGGTGTTGCATAAACGATCCAGTTTTAGCTGCTTCACACCTAAAGCTGCCTCTGCTGAATGTTCTACTCTAAATCATCGAAAGCAAAGCCCAAACTTGTCTTTTTAGATTAGTTTAATATCCCATGTATATTCCGCTTTTCTTTTAATTCAAACTTCAAAGAGGATTATTCACCAAAAAAAAAAAAAAAAAAAAAAAAAAAAAAAA